TATACTTGCCGGGCTCAGTGGCTCAGCTGTAATCCCAGCACTTTGGGAGGCCGAGGCAAGTGGATTGTCTGAGCCCGCAGTTTCGAGACCCACCTGGGCAACTTGGCGAGACCTCATCTCCACAATAAATAAAAAATTAGCTGGGTATGGTAGCACGTGCCTGTAGTTCCGGCTACTTGGAAGGCTGAGGCAGAAGGATCGGGAGCCCAGCAGGACAAGACTGCGGTGACTGGGAGTGTGCCATTGCAATCCAGTCGACAAAGTATGTGTATGCATATATATATATATATGTATATATATATACATATATATGTGTGTATATATATATATGTGTGTGTGTATATATATATATATCTATATCTATACTTGGTAGCAATTCACATTCTTGTCCCCACTTGGAAATATCTCCCATGTAACAATCAATTCTTCTGTATAATTTAGAATGACTCCTCTCCTTATAAATAGTTGAAAATTAACTAATTCTCTGTAGTCATGCATTAAGATGGTTTCCAATATTTAACAACTGTAAACACTGTGATGAATGCATACATAGATATCTTTACACATCCAAGATACATTCCTAAAGATAAATTCCTGTAGACAGAGTTGCTGAGTCATAGGATATGCCTTTTTTTTTTTTTTTTTTTTTTTTTTTTGAGTTGGAGTCTCACTCTGTCCCCCAAACCGGAATGCAGTGGCCGCTCCCGGCCTCCGCAGCCTCGACCTGCTGGGCTCCTGCGATCCTTCCGCCTCAGCCTTCCGAGTAGCCGGAATTACAGTCATGCGCTACCACACCCGGCTGATTTTTTTATTTATTGTAGAGATGAGGTCTCCCTGCCCAGGCAGGTCTCGAAGCCGCGGGCTCAGGTCGTCCACTCACCTCAGCCTCCCAAAGGCGCGGGATTACAGGCTGAGCCACTGAGCCCAGCTATGCCTATTTTTATGGTCACAGCAAATATCACCAATTTGCCCTCCTAAAACACTATGTTAATTTATACTCCCACATCAGTGAGTCTGTTCATTCCTTTGCAACTTTGCCAACCTAGGCATTTTTATTTAATACAAAGTAATTTCATAGAGATAAAATACTCTCAGGTTGTTTTAATGTGCACCTTTAAAAAAACTGGACTGAATTTTTTTTCACATGTTTACTAACAGTGGACCATGGTAGGACTGTGAAACCAAACAGACATTCATTTCTGGTGTTTCACATCTGTGTGAAGATAGCTCAAATAGTATCTGTCTGAGTGCCCCCCCGCCGCCCCACGATCACCTCTGCAAAACAGACACCAAGACTATAAATGTTCAAAGATACATGGATATTAAATTTTATTCCCTTGTATCAGTGTACCTTCTACAAGGCTTATAAGCCAAGCTCCTCCAAAAGTATTTGAGTGTCTTTTTTCTACAGGTGATAATGAAAAATCTTTACTGTATTTCTTAATCTGATTGCGTAAATTAATTTGATAATTTCAATTGCTAAAACAAAGTAAATGAAGATTATATCAGCTTACACGATAAGCATTCACCATATGCCAGGTACTGTTATACTCACTTTACATTCACCAACTTATATAATCCTCACCTTACACCTCTAATGCGGATACAATGATAGTTATCTTCATTTTAGCAACAAAGAAATACAGAGAGGTCAAGTAACTTGTTAAAAATCACATAGCCATTTTATGGGAGAAGCCAGGGTGACAACCCCAGATGGTTTGACTCCAGAGTCTGCATTCTTAACCCCCATGATCACAATTGAATAAACTATAAGCCTTTCAGATGCTTCCAGCTATAGGATTACTACTTACTTGAATTAGCTTTTGTGCTAGGTTGACTTGTCTTTACTTTATTGATTAAAAAAAAAGTTATATACTGTAACTAGTTATATTTTTCATTTGTTTAAAGGCTGCAAGTATTTTTAAAAGCATTCTATCCTTTGTCTTTCATTTATGATGGTGATTTTTTGTTTTGGCCATACTGACATCTTAAGATTTTTCTCTCTCATCATTTCTGCTTTTCAGTTTGCTTACACAGAACTTCCCCACTATTTTAACAGTTTTTTTTTTTAAATGGGGTTTGTTTAAAGTGTTTGATATTTAGTTCATCTTGAAATCGTTACTGTGTTTGCTATAACACACCGTTACATTTTTTCTTGATGGGTTAAGCAAAGTTCCCAGAATCACTCATTAAATAGTTTATCCTTTCCTCAATGGCTTCAAGTTTATTATTTACTAAATGATTTACAGTTATTTGATCTTCTTTCAAGTTCCTCAGTACAGTCCTAGAATTTTCTCACATAGATCTTAGACATTATGTTTTGTTTTCTGTTGTTATGCTTTTTTAACTTAAAAATGTTTTCCTATTGTGTAAGCCATCAATCTTATTTTCTTAATATTGAGCTTACTGACCTTTTAAAAATTTCAATATATTGTAGACAATATTAGATTTTCTTTATGTTCATAGATAATACCTGATATCAGATAGTATCTGCAAATGTTTTCTTTATTAAAATGTATATAATTTGTTTTTTCTTATAATTTAGCATTAGTTGAATCTGACATAAAAGGCTTAATTTTTCATTAATTCATAAACATATAAACTCATTAGATTCTCTGAACAATCTCATGCAGTAGGTACTATTGTTATCGTCAATATAGAGATGACGAAATAGAAGGAATATCTCGTGTTTCTGCAATAATTCTAATTGTTTGTGATGCTTCTAAGAGATACTGTTCATGATGTGCTTCTCAATTACTAATTTATTATACTATTTTTTAAATTAAAAAATGGATGTTGAATTTCATCAAGTGTCCCTTCCATTTTATCAAGTGTCCAGTGAGATTGTTAGAGACTTTCTTCTCCTTTTATAAATCAATTACATAAATTACACAATTAGCGTTCCTAATGCATTGAGCCTTACTGGTACAAGGGAATAAATTGTTAAGTATGCCATTTTTTTATGTTCTTGCTAAATTTAAGCAAGACTTGCTAGTCTTTTAAAGTTTGAAAAAAGCTTGTTCATAAAGCAATATGGATTTTTTTTTTGAGGGGAAGTTGATGCAGGAAGAAAAGGGTGGAATGATTGGATAATTTTTTCATTCCATAATTAATTATTTTCACTTAATAGCATATCCAAGTTCCTCTGATTATACTTTTTAAGATAATTTTCTTTGCTGGTTTTTACACATTAATTTCTCTAAATGTGGAACTGTATTACAATTACAGTTCATTTGGAGAGATGTTTATCTTTACAATGTTCAAGTTCTCCCAAGATATGTCTCTGTAGTTATTCGGTTTTTGTTCAGACTCCTCACTAAAGTTTAGTGTTCATCACAATTCTTCGTTGTTTCTTCATTCCTAATACTATAGTCTTTTCCTCCCTTTTTCCCTACTAAACCTATAAATAGTTTGTTTATTTCATTGGTTTGGGGAGAAGAACATTTGGTTTTATCATATCCACTGTTCACATATTTTCTTATTTATTTTTAAAAAATTATTTATTTTAAAGACGTGGGATATAATTCAGGATTTGGTATACAAATGGTCATTGTACAGGTAAAGTTTGAGCCTGATGTTAGTCCCCACTTTGCCTGGCTTGAAATCAGGTACCCTTATTAATGAAGTGTATTAACGTATTTTCTACATTATTGTTTTGTTTTTATCTTCATCAATTCCTTTCTGATTTTCTTAATATTATTTGTTTTAGTTCCCTTTGTTCAGATGCTTAATTGATTTTCAACCTTTCTTATTTAATGCTAAAGCCATTCAAGGTAAGAATTTCCTCTGCATAATAGTTTTTGGCCCTTACCCATATTTTTTATGTATAGTATTTAATTGTCCACTTCTAAGTAGTCTGTAATTGTAGTTTTGGTAACTACATTAGTTACTTAGTCTTTTATTCCCCCACAAAATAGCTTGAATTTTGTTATTGAGTAGTTTCTGTTTTTTTTGGAATCCATTGAAGTATTTTGGACCCAGAACATTATCAATATTTGAACATGGTAAATAGGTATATGAACAGAATATTTTCTATTTTTATGTGTATGTATATACACATACATTAGATCAAGCTTACTACTAATACTGTAGAGTTTAAGGACTACCACTTTAGTATACCTAAAAGTCATCTAAGAATTTGCTAAAAAAAAAAAAAAAAGAGAGAGAGAGAGATTCCAGAGTCTCATGCTCAGAAATGCAGCAGCCATGGACTAGCATACAGGAATCTTCACTATTAATGCTTCCTGAAATTTGGCATTCAAATATCTAGGCCTTCAAGAAACATCAGTTTGCATGCTTATTTATTTTTTGTTTCTGATATTTTAAAAACCGGATAGATAATATATCTTGTTTTATGATTTGTTTTGTAATGTTTTTCTTATGTCTTTAAAGTGTACATATATCTCTATGAAAATTAGTTCACTTAAAGGCTGTTTTTTATAAGCTTATTGATAATTCATACTCTTTTTTACCCCTAAAACCTGTATTGTGTTTCTGACTTACCTTTTATTTACATTTATTTGCTATATAACTTTTACACATCAGTTGCTGTAGTGGTATATTTTAGATGCCTCAGAGAAGAAACAGTAGTTATATTTTATTCTTTGAATCAATGTAAAAAGTTTTCCTATTTTGTAGAAAAAAAAAGCTTAACGTATTCAACATTTATACCATCACATGTGATATGCTCAGTTGTATATTTGCCATCTTGTGAGATTCTCCTAATGACCTATGGCAAGTCATTCTTTCTCTTTTAGCCTGTCTGTTCTAACCAAATATCCATACTATCTACTACATATGACTCATGATCGTTCCAGCATGTTAAAGGTACTCTTTCCTAGTTTCTAGGACTAATATTTTATATTACTTTATTTAAATATTTTATTATATTTATATGCAATATTTTATACATATTTGCCGGAGTCCAGCTCCAGCTGGGTTCAGGGTCTCCTGAAAGAGGAACGGTGTCGGTGTTGAAGGAAACACTTCGGACAACTGACTCTGTTGTGAGCAGAAGAGATGTCGTTTATTGCCAGTTAACAGTGAGCTTATATATCCTTTTTACAGGGAAGAGGTTTTACAAAAAATTCTTAAGGTGTGATATAATGAGTAACTAATCAATAACTTTATCTAAGACAAAAGCAGAGCAGGTAATTCAAGCATAATGTTCTCCAGGAAATCACTGTGCATTTCTTCACACACAGATGCCTTCTCGAGAGTGTCACTGTCTTGTGATCTTCAAGGCATGTAGTCCACAATGCTTAATCTAATTGTTATCTTCTAAAGCCCCTGGGCCTACGATGATTACCAGGTCTCAAAAAACCCACAACTTTCAGTTAATAAATCATGAAATAAATCTAAAAAGAATATTGTTATACTAAGCATATTATATTTCTCAGTCTACAAAATTTATTCTAATTATTTCTGTAATACATTACTTGTCTAACTACTTTACTTAGTATGAATCCTTAAGCTACAAAAACAAATCTGTAATTCACTCTTACGGTGATTGTTGGAATCTGAGACCTATTAGCTACAGTTAATAATTCACATTACATATTCATTTTACCAAATTTATGCTACACTACTACAATAACTCAATCTTATATTCTTAATCCTATAAGCGCTAAATAGCAAGAAGTGACATGACACTAAAATGGCCATTCAGGTGTGCATGAAATTCCACATTTAAAACTCAAATAAACACAATTGTGAATAAGCATTCTCCTTTACAAGCCACAATGCAAATTGTAATTAGCTGGGGTAAAACAACATCTCTGAATTTCTTTTAATCACCACTCTGAAGGAATAAAATCTATCAAACAATTACCTACCCACACATGATGTTTAAAACCTTTTACTTATAATTCTTTGGTGAGTTTCTTAACAAACATCAAAAGCACTTCTTGTTCTTTCAGTGATTTACCCAACCATAGTGTTAAATCATGGGCTAACGTGGCCTAGCATTAGAAGGTCAGGGACGTGGCAATTTAGGGGGAAGCAAAGGCAATTCTTCTTGTAAGTTATTCTCCTCTACCATCCAAACAAAACTTAAATACTTGTTTTAATTTTAAGTTAGGTTAATGAAATGAAATATTAACAAGTTAAAGTGCTAAATCCAAAACACATTTTAAAATACATTATAAAATATTTAACATCTGACTAATATATTTGGCACCTAAAATGCAAAAATCTTTTTAAAAAATGTATTGAGAATTATAACACTTTAAAGTACTCTTTCATTCATTCAGGTGTGTTGTTTTTGACATTTGATCTCAACAAAACCATTTAACACTTTCTTGAGTTCACTCTAAAATTCATTAATAACAATTAAAAGGTAAAAATACAATACCTGTTAAGCTCAAGATCACTGAGAATGACAAACGCAGAACCCATGAAATCAGATGCGGTTAAATCCCAATCATATACCTACAAGGAGGGCAGAGGCCAGTAACACATGAATATGGTAAACCAATTGAAGTTTATCAAATTACTAAATGCAGTAGGTTGAGAATTTTGAAATCAGTCTCAGATTTTGCAGTACATCTCACAGTAGAGTTAAAAAGAAGTTTAGCCAAGTCAATGCAGAGAACCAAATTATTCAATCTTGTCTATTTTGCCTACTAGGATCAAAACAACAGCAAAAATTTCTTTTAAGGCAGTATTTATATGCATTAAAATGCAATGCAAAGCCGGACTTGGTGGCTCAGACTGTAATCCCGTGCCTTCGGAGGCTGAGGTGAGTGGACTGTCTGAGCCCGTGGGTTTGAGACCCACCTAGGCAACTTAGCAAGATCTCATCTCTACAATAAATCAAAAAATCAGCCGGGCATGGTAGCACGCACCTGTAGTTCCAGCCACTTGGAAGGCTGAGGCGGAAGGATCACCGAGGGTCTGGGCGACAGAGTGAGACTCCAACTCAAAAAAAAAAAAAAAAAAATGCAATGCAAAAAGGACTATCCTCTGTAGTTTAAATTGTCTGTCATTAAAATTTAGTATTTTCCAGTGATCAGATCTGCCAATTAGATAGAGATTTGCTAAATCTTCTATAACAATCTCATTCTGCACTTGACTCATGCAGTTTTAACCCAGAAGTTAGAGCAACTGCTGCTTATATCCGGTAGCTTAAAGCTCTATTAAGCATAAAGTTATTCCTAATGAGAAAGGTTTTAGTACTTGTCACCACTGCACTACCAGTAATGATTCATCCACATTCAATAAGTTTGAATACAATCAATGGAGATATTCTTTTCACTCTGATTTTTCAGTAGATCATATCTCAATTGATCTGAGAAAAACATACAGTTTTGTCAAATAGAATAAAGAATTTTTCCAATATCAATATTTTAAACCAGTTTTTGAGAATAATAAAAAAATAATTTGGCAAATTTATAAGAGGGCATGAAAAACTGCTGAGAGAGATGTTTTTAATGAAGGAGCAGATTTGAAAACCATCTGTTATTACCTTCACAAGTAGCTTTTGATCAAGGCTTTGTATTGGCAGTACAACTATCTCATCTCAAACTGGATTCAAGTTCTTATATATAACTTTACTTTTGTACAATGTCTTCCCATTCGGCTTAAATTTCACATAGGGATCACTTGTGCCTTTAAAAGAAAAAGAGAACAAGACAATTGTTAAATGCACATAAAAAACCTAGAATCTGCATTACATAAAGATCTCGTCTACACTTCCCAGACATGTCTTCCTACACAGAGATCAAAGGTCACAGAGATGGAGGAGAGAGAGGAAAATGAAACAAATTGGGGTAAGTGAATGATTTCTTTTTTTCCTTTGTGGTAGAATTAAATGGGCTCCTTGAGTTTTTTCTGTTTTGTTTCATTGTGGGTACATCACAACTATGCTATCCACAAAAATTCAAGATATAAATCCACTAGCACAAACCAATGGTGTCCGATGTCCTGGCAGCGAGTCAGTGACAGGGAAAGAATATGAACAAAGCAATCGCCAACAGATAATAGCTATTAGAGGAAGTCCAAGGGAATTTCAAAGCAGAAAGGGGGTGGTTTAAAGGGCATTTCCATCCATTTGTGTGTTTGATGGCCTCATAGTAAGGTTGTATTCACATCTTTCTCATGCATAATTAAAGCTGTGTCATTGAGGGAACATTTTCTTGAGGAGTTGCTTTGTGCTGGGCATAATCAATTATTTCATTCTAAAACAACTTTACGTAATTATTAGAATTATGAATATGATACTAAGAAAGAAAGTAAGATTCAGTGGCTTTAAATAATTTACTGCATTACACCTGGAGAGGCTTAGATTTGCATTCCAGTCTCTTCTAAACTATGCAGTGACAGAAAAAGTTAACTAACAACATTGATACAAAGGTAGAGAAAAAGAGGTTTGCAGGATACACAAGTATAACAGACTCAGATCTTATCGCAGTGGTCTTGGACAACAAGTTTCCAGCCTTCCTTCAGGTGTAAGGTGAGGAGATATGCAAAAGGTCTGGGGAGATCACTCAAGTCATCGCCAGCTTCCCCGAGAATCTGCACAGATGAAGATGACAGTTAAGATAGTATGTCTTGGGCCTAAGCAAGAGAATTTGAGATGTTTCTTAATTGAAGAGGGTGAATAAGAAAAAGCACTATGATAGTCAACTGCTATCCCTGACTCCCACTCATGATGGACTTGATTATACTGCTTTATGAACAAGTCCTTTACATTTTTCCCCAGTGGGATTTTATCAGAATTCAGAGTTGATCATTGATATATTTTTGCAAGATTAACCTTCCAAGAATTGAGTAAACCAGGTACCAATTTCTGAAACATGCTGCAGGATTTCTTATTATAAAACTCATAGTAGAACCCTGCAAGAAGTGCAGTTGCTTGGCTGGCTCCCAAGAACCTGCATCCATACTTCCAAGCTGAGAGGTAAAATGTCATTCTCTTCTTCTCCATCCTTCCTCCCAACCCCCATTAACTCTGGTAGACGTCCTCCATGTGTAAAACAATTTCAGTTTTTGACATTCAGCTGATCCCTTCCTGAGCCCACATAGTCATCTGACACACTCCTCCACTTGTGTCTGCAGGGACACCGTTTATTACTCTCCTGATTTTTCCACATTTCTCTTTCATTCCCTGGCACCGCTATTGGTATCTCCAACTCTTGTGCTCACCTCCTCTCAACTCTGTCACTTCCATCTCCAGAAATGCAGCAACTTCTATGGGCCAACATCACAAAATCAAGTCTATTTCTAAATATTTATTGTATGAGTCCAATTAAAATTTTGAACCAGTTCAAACTTTTGACTATCCTCAAAGAGAAAGGGCAGATAAAATTACTTATCATTGACTTATTAGATATTCAATTAATTGAACTTGTGGCTAAGCCAACCCTGACAGCCTTCTTTTGAAAGTTTCAAAGCACTTCAAAATGGCTTCATCTCCTTTATGATCTCACTCAATTTCATAGCTGTTCTGTATTTTTAGAAGAACCTATCCTCGTCTGACAGACAGCCATTGAATTAATTTCTTTCAGCCAAAATTTGCAAGGTCTGTTTTTGTAAGTGGATAGTTTAGCATTCATTAGAATTAAAATAAAAGAGGAAAAGAAATACAAACCCAAGCATTTGATGAGAAATATTTATAATCTTTAGTGTTTGTTTTTAAGGAATGCCACTCACCAATTGTTCTTCAAAATGCTGAGATATCATAGAAACACTCAGATCGCCACTTCCCCTTAAATTTTACAAATAAAAAGAATCCTTTTTTAAAAAAAAAAAGCAAATGAGTATCAGCCCATGAAGATATCCTCCATGAGGTCTTTCTCTTTGGAAGTCTGAAATTTGCACAGAGGCTTTTTTGTTTGACCATTATGAAAAACAAACACAGAAAGAGAGTAAAATGGAAAACAGAAAATGTTAAGGGAGACATGAAGGAATTGAACCCATAAACAATTATTGATGATAATGTAAAATGGTGAATCTTACATGGAAACCCCTTTAGCATTTTCCTAAACAACTAAGCATAAGATACCATGGAATCCAGCAATTCCACTTCCTAGCACCTGCCAAAAAACAGGTGAGAAAATGAGAGCTTCTACACTCACTGTATAGGGTCAACATCCAGAAGTGGCCTCACTGAAGTTCCCTCCTGTGCCCTTCTCTGCAGTCGGCGGCCGCACTGGAGGCCCCGCTCTGCGGTCGGCGGCCGCGCGGGAGCCCGGCCCTGTGGTCAACAGTGGCATGGGAGGACCGCCTCTGCGGTCTGTGGCGGTGTGGGGGTCCAGCTCCACGGCCAGTGGCATGGGGAGCACAACTCAGAGGTCAACCTGGACCTGCAATCCTGGGGCCACAGCTCCAAAGTGAGTGGCAGCGGGAGAGGGCCGACTTTGTGGCGGCAGGCGGTGGCGCTAGGGAAATGTGAGTCAAAACAACAATGAACAGCACCTCCCTTATCCAAGATAAATACAATCTAGAGTCCAGCTGTACAACATTGTATTTATAGTTAGCTTTCCTGGATGCACACTTAAATACAGTAAAAGACAAAACAATACAAGTTATGCGATTCCACTACACACCTACTGGCCGAACAATATTTAAAAAATTTTAAAAAGAAGAGAGAAAGAGAATAAAGAAAAATGGAAAATAGAAAACGTTAAGGGAAATGGAAAGATAACTGGACTCAACAATTACTGATGATAACGTAAAATGGTGAATCTTTTATGGAAAATCCAATAGCACTTTCCTAAACAATGATGCATAACGTACCATGGAATCCAACAATTTTCCTTCTCACATATTTCAGAAAAAAAAAAAAAAGTGAGAAAACTAACAAAAAAGATAAGAGGTTCTAAACTTACTGTGTAGGGCCCATGCCCAGGAACGGCCTCACTAAAGTTTCCTCTTGCGCCGTCGGGGGCACCCATGCAAGGCCCTTGGTGCAGGCCCAGCACCGCGGCCAGTGGGGGTGCTGGGCACTCGCAGAAAACTCCCGCGGGTCTGAAAGCAGTCACACTGATTGGGAGAGTGCAGCCTGAACAGAATATTTAACTCCTACCTATTCAAATAAGGACTCCAGAATGGCTCATTTTGATTGGATGATAAAGACGGTTTCTGATTGGATGAAAAGGACTCATATTGATTGGATGATAGCCACATTTCCTTTGACCCAATCAAAAGGAGCCTTTCCGGAGTCCTTATTTGACTACGCAGGATATAAAAGCTCTGCTTAAGGCCCACGCTCTCATTGGGACGGCGTGCAGCGCTCCTCGAGGCCTCGGCGCGTGTGCCTCCTCCAGAGACCGTCAGGCGGGGCTGTGGCGGTGCTGCTGACGGGAGCCGAGCCCGTGTTCGCCCACCGGGCACCCAGGGCCTCCTCGTGGCAGACCACCGACGCGGCCCACCTGCGCCGCGTCGACCCTCACACCCCTCACCGCCGCGGACCACAGACCTTGGCTCGCCGCGCCGCCACTGACCGCGGAATGGGTCCACCCGCGCGCTCCGACCGTGGAAGAGCGGCCCAGCACAGCAGAGGACGACAGGACCGCCCCCCGTGCCCCGGGGGACTGTGCAGCCGAGCCCCGCGCCGCGGGCCCTGCAGTGTCCAGAAAAGCTGGAGTCACGGGCAGCCCCGCGCCGCCGACCCCGGGGCCCGGTGCTGCGCGAAGCAGCTGCCCGGAGCCAGGCCCACCGCGTTCCTGTCCGCCGCTGGGCTGGGTCCTCAGCTCGGCCACATCCCGCGGAGCCGGGCGCCCCGTACCGCGCGTGCCCACCGGCCTGGACGTCGTACCGCAGCGTCCCTGGGTCCCCCGTGCTGGCGACCCCGCAACCGAGGTCTCCACGTGGCTGACGAGGGCTGAGCTGGCCCCGCGGGGGGGGCGAGCTGTGAGTCCGGCTACCCCACACCGCTGCCA